CGCCTGGTCATTGATATACTGCGTGTAATCGCCCCATGGGGGGCTTTCCCGGTGTGAATAAGCCCTCCTCACAAGATCTCTCTGGATCTGGCTTGATGAACTCCTCCTGAGCATTCTAGCATTCTAAGTGCACACTTTGTGGAAAACTGCAGAGTTGTAGGGAGCAAACTGCAACATGAGGCGCACCTCAAACTGGCATTCGGGAGGCCCTTCCTCCATTTCAGCCTGAACGAATGGTTAAATCACGCTGGCAAAGAGTGAGTCTGAGCATAATTTAATGCAGGTGCATATCTGAAGGAAGACTGGTTCAATATTCTTGCAAGGAACAACGGATTGCAAGAAGTAATTAGTTGCAGCTTGTCGGGTGAAGGGAAGCAAGCTGAAAACTGGGGCACCTCAAGCTGGCATTCGGGAGGCCCTTCCTTCAATTCAACCTGAATGAATGGTTCAACGACTCTGGCTGGCAAAGATTGAGCATATTTTCACGTAAGCACATATTTGAAGCAAAATTGGTTCAAGATTCATGCAAGGAGCAGTGGGTTGCAAGTAGTAGGTAGCTGTTTGGAATCCCTTGCTCGGGTGCAAGAGATCAAAGTGCCCAAATTTGCGAAGTTCTTCAGCAGCATTTTTCCAGGAAAACAGAAGGTGAGGAGTATGAGCAGGTGGTCCTCCAGAAATCTTCCCAAAAAGGCAGTCCCTCGGCAGCCAGGCATGGGTTTCCACGATCTTGTCGTAGGTGTCACCATCTACAGTCAAGCGAATCTGGTACCCAATGCTGGCTGCGATCCACCTAAGATCAGGAATCTCAAATGAGCCGGTGGTTTCCACGCGATCTATGTCCTGCAAATGGTCCGGAAAGATGCGCCGAGCATGCTGGCCTCAAGGCTCAAACTTTAAACTTCAAACTTCAAGTTTTGAGCAGACCCCACCCAAAATAGAATAGAAATCGCCGCCCAAAAAGAAACCTTCAAGCAAAAAAGGACCATTGAGCCGGGTATCAAACAGATATGCAAAGGTCCTGAGCCTCAACAACTTCCATCTCGCCCACGCGATTGTTCACAGGATAGGCCCCCTTTGTCCTCTACGGGAACGCGCCACGCACAGCAAGAAACACACATAGAATGCCTTTCGATTTTCACGTTTCACTGTTTCGCGCGCATATATATATATATATACATACACAGTATATGTGTGTGTGTATGTCCTGGGCACGCGTTTGAACGAGTCCACATCTTGCGAAGCCAGAAGTGCACGCCATCCACACCTGCCGTCAGCAGGTATGGAAACCACCTCGTACCCAATCTTGTTGTTTCCAGCAGCAGGTTCACAGTCTGGGGTGTTGAGGGCGTCCTTCACCTGGTGCACAACAGTTTTGACCACATTGATGTACATTCGCTCCTCATTGCTCTTCCCCAAATTGTGCAGCCACGTGATATTTCCAACCCGTGTAGCTCGGCTGTAGCCCCATGTAGGGCTCACCGCAATCAAATCATTTGACTCAAGGCGGCGTTCCAGCGTGGCAATTGCACCAGGATAGGTCGGGTGGACCTGGAAGCTGCTTGTACCCCGTGCCGCATAGAACTGACAGATGAATAAAAAATTCCTACTGTTATATATACAGTATATGTATATAAATATATAGATTGTGTTTTGCTAGAAAAGTTCAACTCAAATCTTTTGAAACAAAGCCAGGTTGCCAAAACACACAAGGCTGAGTCCAATCCTCCTCCTTCTAGCAAACGCGAAGTCAAAGCTGCTGCGGTCGTCCTGTCATCCTCCTTGGACTCTTCGCCCTGCATCACAACTCCGCAAGGAAACATGGCCTCTTGCGTGCAAAGGGTGCTGATTGCACTGCTGCCGATTAGCTCATCATAGCCCCTTGCTACCACAATGATGAGGCCATTCTTGCGCTTGGGAGTCTTGTTTCCAAGCATCAGCCCTACTATGCCAGGAGCTCGAATGGCCCACGTTTGAAAGCTCATGATGGCAGCCTTCTGCACAGCTGTGGTGGATGGAGGCTTTTGTGGCCCGAAATGCTTGGGGCAGACCAACAGGGAACTGGTGATATCTGTGCTTCTGCTGAGTAAGGATTCTTGCGGTACCTCACCACTTGCCACCAGCTCTGTCAAATCCTCATCGCCACAGCCACGAGCAAATTGGGTAGCCCGTGTGGTTGCCTGACAGGCACACACACAAACACAGTTAGAATGCTCTTCATTTTATACATGCACGCTCTTTGACGCATGTATATAGTAGCAAACACGTGCACACGGAGGGACATATACATGACTATTATTTATTATATATATATATGTATGCATATATCTACTATAGAGAAAGTGGGAGAAAAAAGGAAGATTTAGCTGGGACTTGGCTGGGCTGCTGAATCGCAAGCTTTCACCCTGCATGCTGCATCTAGTCCTTTGCGCAGAGCACCTGCCGTGGTGGCAACATCCATTTTGTTGATCCACGTGCAGCAATCAGTCACAGTGGTGAAGCTTTTCTTAATTTGCTCCGCTCCAGTGTCATAGGTGGCCAGAAAACCCATGAACTTGTCCGGGTCAAGGGTGATGGAACCCTTTGGGGAAGGCGAAGCTTTGCTTGCAACCTCACCCTCCACAGATCCTTGGCAAATGTGGAGCCGAGAAAGGCGTTCAAAATAAGAACCTATATAGATACAAACGTTTACACACTTATACATACATATATAAAGTATAGCGTAATTTAGAACGCAATTTGGAAATGGGAACTGATCAGAACTTGGCCTCGGCAACCCTACACACACTGAAATTTAACTCCCAGCACTTGTGCAAAGAAACCTGCTTGTGACACAACTAAGACCCTGACGGACACCCCCTCGACAGCACAGCTCACACAGAAACCTCTTTTGCTCTGCCAAAGTCCTCCCTTTGAGTTCTATCTTCTCCTTTGATAGCCACTCCTTCCGAGCCTGCTACATGCATGGATGCAAACAGTAAGAATGCCTGCCTGTTCAGCGATCTGTATGTTTGCATGTGTCGATATAAACAAATCCCAACATCAAAGAAATGCTCGCCTTCCCCTTGTGGATCTCAAAGCGAGTGATGAGTTTCATCGCGTCAGCGTCGAAGGCGCAAGCAGCAGATTTGGCCGCAGCCATGGTCCCATACTGGCTCGCCTGGAATCTGCGAATGCTGCCTTCCACATTCACTGAGTACCTAGGAAACGTGCAGTTAGAATGACCCCAATTTGGCCAAACAGTGTGATGTAAGTGTTAGCCATACACATTCCACGTGTGATTTTGTTCAAACTATACATATATATATATACACAAATGGAATTAGTTTTTGATTGTTTTTCTCTCCCTCTCTCTATGTGCGTACACGTGTGCAGCAAGAATCTCCTTTGTGTGAGTTGTAACATGCAGCAACAAGTGTGGAGAGATTGCGGCATGGTCCAGCAGACAGGGCCAGGCCAAGCAATTGAACACATAGAATGCTTTTGGTATTTGTTCAAATCTCCCCCTCTCTCTCTCTCTCTTTCTCTCTATATGTGTAAAGACGCACTTCCAAAAAATACTCCAGAACAAGTGGCTGGCTCTTAAGTTCTTTCACATTTGGTGGCAGTTTCGCACTTGCCGCACCGTCTGCTTCAGAAGGTACGGGGTCCCCATTGCCACTCTCAGCTGTTTGATCATGCTCCCCAAGATCATCTGGTGGAGGTTCACATGGCGGTGGTAGTGGTGGTTGTTGGTTTCGACAATCGCGCCCTGACTGGGGGGGCATTCGGCATTCTCCACGCAGAGTAATTAACCGACTAGGAACGTCACAGATAAATACATCGAATGACTGTATAATATATATATATATAAAGGGCTCTATTTTTCATAAACAACTCAACCAACAAGCTTGTATAAACATAAACACTTCCAACTTCATCCACAGAAGTCCTGGTTCCCCGCGCTGCAGCAATCCATTTGCCAGCTTTTCCATGGCGCAAATTAGAAACCTAGATGCCCCAAAACAAGGTTCCTTGCCAACACAATCCGGTTTGTGAAACAGTAGCTGCATGTGGTTACCGATGCTCCTTTTCATTGTTCCTGCCAGCCCAACGTGCACTGTGCTTATCTGTGCTTTCCTAGATGCACAAAAACAAGGTTCCTTTCCAACAAAAAAGCTTTTTGTGAAACAGTAGCTGCATGTGGTTATGTCATTGGATTCCATATGAATTTTCGATGTTTCTTTTTATTGTAGATGCCAGCCCAACATGCATTGTCATGCTTTGGTCCAAGACAGGCGATGTTTCAAGTCACTTGCAACTCTATGCTTGCGGTTTCTCTATATAAATAAACGGTTGATAATTGCCAACTATGAAAGCGCATTCTAAGTGTGCAAGTCCTTGCAATTGGCGGTCTCCGGTGTTTTTTGGGGACTACTATGCCTACTCTGGGTAGGCATTCTAACTGTAGTTTCGCATTTGTGCACTTAGAATGACGTCTTTAGCCCGTGAGCCCGTCAAAAAAAAAAATCGTTTCCACTTTCCAAAACGTCATTCTAAGTTTCGGTCCGGTACTATAATGCTTATAACAAAGAAAACTCGCAACAACAATATTGTTCCTGTTGATATGGGGCATGTAGAATGTCTGTTTGGAAGAAACATGAAGAAACCAAAAAGAAAACCAAGGCCTGTTTTGGGGTCATTGAACATAGCAAATGGTCTCCCAGACACAGTGCCAAATCACAGGGTCACATGATTCATTGGCACAGCCAATTGCTGTCACATCAGCAAGGAAAGGCATCGGGTTTCTACAAGCTTCACGCACTCGGAGAAAAAGCTGTCCAAATCATGGAAAAGCTGCATGCAGGATGCACACACCCACTTTTTGAGTTGAGATGTCTACTATCTTTTCTGATCTTTCCACTGGCCAACGAAAACTCGTAGCTTGCAAACTGTACGTCCTCTTAGCTGGTAAACAGGGTCAACACGTCTTCATTCTCCAACAGGCTCGGCCCAGTTAAGGCTCGGTCACAAGAACTCTTGGTCATCCAATGCCAATGCCATGCCTCAACCCCGGCCCATCCCCTCGCTGGTCAGCCACGTGAAGCTTCATGCTCGCTTCGTAGCGCAGCTCACGCGACCGGCGGCGTGGTGAAGACCTGAAGAGGCGAAAGCGACGACCGGTCCCGCGCGGGCGGTCGTACCGCGCTGTACCATCCACTCGACCGCCAGGCCGTGGGGACTAAGCCGTGGCGAAGCCCGATGGCTCGGAGGTGAGGGTCAAAAAGGTGCAGAGCACTGGAATTTCGTGGCCAAACTTGACGCTTTCGCCTTGGAGGCCGCGAAGGCTCGATTACGAGGCCATCGCTCCTGGTGACCTGGAAGGCATGGCCCCGAGGACTCGGATTTCCATGAAATCCGAAACAGGTGGTGCCATCCACGTAACCATCGTCACCGCCACGTCCACATGGGCCCAGAAGGCACCCAGGAGGGCCAACCCAGGATGTGGTCAGGTTTCCCCCGAAGGAGTCACTGCCCTTTGCCTGGCTCCTCTCGGCAGCCAGCCGACTTCAATCTTCTCCCCAAAACAATGAGATTGAAGTTTACATCCACACCAATGAGGGGGAGAGTTAGATGAGTTAGACCTGCAATTATACCTTGTCAAACACAAAAAGATGATCCAATTCTTAAATTTGTGCGATGGGGCCCCAGAAATGACTCATATTAACTCATATTGTTTGATGATGTTTGATGTGTTGCTCGGACCAACTTGATCCGTGGAATCTAAAGTGGAACTCCACTCAGTCCTGAGTCACGTCGCATCCGGGCCCCCCCCTGCAGGAGAAGAGGAACTACAGCAGAACAAGGACCCCATGTTCATCCGATGATCCTCCGCGGCAACAAGGGGATCACCACATTCATCCAAAGGGTCCAGAACTCATCGCATGAGGTCGGATGACCACTCCAAAGGGTGGTTCGGTCTAGCTGGTCTTGGCCAAAGAACCACTAAACTTATATGCTTTGGCAGATATTGGCTGGCTTGGTGGGTTCAGCTTGATGGGAGATACAGAAATCATGAGGAATTGGACACGGTATATTGCTTTGAAAGAGGTTTCTCCACAACCAAGTTTCACGCAGCTGCTGGTCTTGCTGTCTATTCACCGTAAATGAGTGATCAAACCTTTGTACCTTCACAGCAACCCTAAACCCTGCATAGTATGGGTCGGCTTGGCTGAAAAAGAATGAAGTAAAACTAGGGGCTACTGGGCATCGCGACTCGAACGGAGCGATCGGACGCGAACCGAACGTCACAGACCCGCGCGGACGGTCCTGCCAGTCGATGTGCGGCTTGGTGTTGCGGACGTCGGTGGCGGTGATGATGATGCCCGTCTCCTCTAAAACACAACAAGGAGATATCCCACGCTTGGGTGTGATGTGACTTGGCCACGTCTGACTCATCTCTCCTTCTTTACAAATCATGGACCTAAACTGAAAGCCAACTGCCCAGGAAAGAAAAGACATCGAAGTTCAGACCTTCAGACCTGAAGACATTTCAGAAGGAGCCTCTTCACGTCGGCTGGCGGACGAGTGGTGCTTTCCCAAATCGCCTCGATCACGCCGTCGAACATCACCTCCAAGATCTTGAGGGTCTGGTGCACCTGCTCGCGCGGCCGGGCGCCGGGTCACTGGTCGTCCGAGCGCCAGCGTGCACCCCAATCGGATTGGGGCAGGCTCTGAAGTGGAGAGGTAGAGTCAGGTAGAGCAAGGGAGTTCCATCGGAACAAGTGCCAACAAGTGCCAACCAGTCAACAGTCAACCGCGGAATTGGCAGTGGGTCGAGTTCGCAGTTGGCCGTGTTCTTCACCAAAAAGAACCAGGGTCTCAGCTCAATCCATTGTGACGTCGGAGTTGGACGTCGGAGTGGAACCTCATTGGTTGGGCCTCCATCCTCACGTTCGGTCGGCTCATTTGCCAAGGCACGATCCCTTCACCATGAACTGCGCAGTAGGTTTCAAAGTCCTCCAGCGAGTCGAACGACGGGGCGAGTCCGGGGCTCCCCAAACTGAAAAGGACTAACATGTTGAGAAGAGGATATTCTTCGGGCAACACATGCCAACACACCCCCCAGTCTGACAGGTGGGTCCAGGTGGGGCATCCATCTTGCTAGAAATTGGGAAAGGTGGTGGGTGGGTCATCTGTTTTGCCCCAAAACTCTGAAAGTGGTTCCTCCGAAGATTCCATCAGGGTCTGTTCTAACTTGCTTGCAAGCCATGATTAGCTCCCTCCCACTGCGCCAGGATCTGGCTGCTCCACCAGTCCTCGTAGCAGATCCGCCCATCCGAATCTTCGTCGCAGAGACTGAAAAACTGCATGTACCTCCCAGGCCGTTTTGCTGCGCCACCGTCCAGTTGTTCGGCGCAATGAACTGCAGTCCTGAAAACTACTACTATGCGTTTTTCATCGTTTTTCCGTTCTGCAAAACAGCTAAGTCAAATCACCGAAGACCTGCAAGTGCCAAAGCCCAGCGTGAGCAGCACAGTCGGGAAAGACCATGAAAAGGCTGGTTCAACCAAATGTTTGGTTGCAAATGTTTTCATGCAAGATGGCCACAACCCCCACAACCCCTCTTAGTCTTAAACCACCCGACCTAGCCACCAAGTCTTGACGCTTGTGTTCTATCTGGTGTCTTGCTGAGAAGCTGCAAACATGAACACGTTCTTCAAGCTGCTTCTCGTTTCCCCAACTTCAGTAGACTGCAGACCTACCATTGCGGGAATAGGTAGACCACCATCCTGTCACCACGAAGCCTATGAACTTCCTTTTACTTCCGTCAAAATATCGAACTGAACTTCTAGATCTTCTAGGGCTTGGGTCCCTCTGCTTCCACTCCGCCTCGGACCCTTCCCCCCCACCCCACGACCCCTTCACCGGTTTCGTCACTCGTCGGGCGCTTCCGTGCCGCTCGAGGCCTCGGCCCGCGGCGGCTGGGCAAAGGTGGGAAGCTCATGGGAAGCAAAGAACAGATCGAACAGATCTGGCGATCTGGAACGGTGGGGGATGGCTGGGACGTGGAATGTAGAAGTGACCTACATGTGGAATGGTCTCAGTCGGACTTTCATCACTGCGATCCGACCCCCACTGACCTTCTACGGAAGTGAATGAAAACGAGTGCATCCCACCTCGCCAACCCAGAATGCCACCTACTTGGAGATCACATCTTCATGTTTCCAGGGCTGGCAGTCCAAGGACTGACCATCTGGTCTCTCTTCCCATGGCGACATGATGATCCGTACTTGTGAGTGCGTATGACAAAGATGGCAAGAATCGGACCAGCCGTAAATGAAAAACATGTTTTGTCCGAAAACAGAACATATCCAACAGTAAAAGGGTGTTTTCCCGCTTGCAGCCAATGTATGGCCCGGCATGGTGCAGTGTTTGGTGACAAAACATATCGGCTAAACCCGCAATTCGGCTCCCTCACCACAGTGGTGCTGGTCTGCCAGGAGGGGCGCCTGGAAGCATGAAAGCTTCTGACAAAGGGCCGCCTGGTGGGGTCCAGGGAGAGGAACTTGACACTCCGAGGCCATCGCTCTTAGTTTGGAGGCCCATATTAAACCAGTACTGCTATCTGGTCACATGGGTTGTTCAATATTATCCTCTGGTTTTTTTTATGCCCGGTTAAATATCTGCTTGGGCTGCGGTCCTCCATATTTTGTATAGAATGGTCGGAACGAGATGAAATCCCTATAAAATGCTAAACCAAACCTATTTTGCATATGCGTGTTTAAAGTCTATTCGGCGTAATGCATTTTTGTAAAACGATGCGAACGGGTTCAAATGACAAGCTCTGTTTATAAAATGATTCGACCCGGTTCCCATCTTAGCTAAGTGACATGTTCCACGTGTTTTTTTAGTCAACCCTTAATTTTGAGCATACCCACTGTGTGCTTTACAAAATTGGGTTGCAAACTGCATTTCATAAAGGAACATGATAGCCATTTTATAGTGACATATTCAAGGACCCCACTGCGTCAAAAGAGCTTTTGAGGGGCTTTTTGGATGAACCGATCTATTTTCGTCTTTTCAGTTTGGTGGTCTCTCGTTTTTTCTGCGAACCCAAGCCTTCCTCACCAGCAACTCCCAGTTCGCTGTGGCACTTACCCGAATGCAACGTCCATGGATCGAACGCGAGGTACGGCCACCTGAGCACCGCCAGCTTCGTCTCCAAGATGCAACGGAAGTCGGCCTTCGCTCACTGTTTCGTTTCGGTGGCCATGGCCACTTAGACTGTAGACTGTTCATGAGTCAACCGCCCCCATTTAGATCGTAGTAAAATGTCATAAACCTGTTCATATGGAGGTTGAAATATCACCAATTCACAGTCCGCGGAGGTGTAGAGGATTCCAAGTTGTCTCGTCAGAAACAGGCGCTTGGGCACATCTGCGCGGTCTTGGGGTGGTGATTGGGTGCCAGTCAAGGTGATTCATGGTGATTCATGGTGATCACAGTGACGCCATTGTGGTTATTCTGAGATTCGAGCTTCGTTGTGTTAGCATGCTTGGTGCTCAGCCTTGATCCTTTTGGGGGTGGCTCCCAAGGACAGGGGACGACAATCTCCACAGGACCGGTATGCCAACACAAAGGGGAAAACGTCCATGGGAGGTAGGTAGGATGAGGTAGGTGTCCAAGAATGAAAGAAACAGAGAACCTGTGGGTTCTCTCCCACTTACCAAGGATCATCTCTGAGACCCAAAACCCAGAAGAAGTGAATCTTTGAAACATCCGAAGCAGCTGCATCTGGGTCCATCCAAAAACTCGCAGGACCCTTACTGACCCTGAGAAAATAAATGAAAGAGAATGGAGGCACCTCCAGCTCTATAAAAATCACTTCTCTCTCTCTCTCTCTCCAGCTCTGGTCTCCACTATGTCTCCACCTGCCTTCTCAGCAAAGCCATCCTGATTCGAGTCAAACAGCCGGAAGCAAAGGCGCCGCTTCGCCTGGAGGATCAGGTCCGGCGCGAGCGACGAGAGCTTCAGCGAAGCTCTCGTCGCTCTCGGCGCCCGGTGGGTGAGAGGGATGGTCCGACATCGAAAAGGATGCAACACCTGGCGCCTCATCCCAAAAGGCGTAAAAGGGTGAAAGGGTGAAAGGATGTAAAGAGTCTCTTGTCTGCTCTGCTCTTTGTTTCAAGTTACACCTGGCGAGAAAAGCGAGTGTAGATGTAGTAGATAGGCTATGCGGCATGCCCAAACACCCAAAATAATTATACAAGGGCCAAGGCCTTCCACTGACACTCTCTCTCTCTCTCTGCTTGATGACTGAAGACACTCTCTCTGCTCGGATAGGTTCGCCATTCAGTCGCGTTGGAGGCGTTAGCTCGTTTAGTCGGCCAGATGGCATCGCACTATGTTTAAAGGTACTCCTAGCTAGAATGTCTCTCCAAGCCTTCAAGCCTCCTACTGGTCTACGCTGCTCATGCTGTGAACCCAACAGAACCTGAATCTATCGATCGCTCAACATCTTCAGGACATGGCAAACTCAATCAGTTCACCATTTTGACCACTACTTGCCATGAACCATGTCTGCTTCATGCTTTCATCGTTTCTTTCTTGAGAGGATTTTCGATGACCCCGCGGGGTCTGAGACGAACCTGTACAGGGCCCTTGAGCTGAATTCCTTGACGCGGGAGGCCATCGAAAAACGGGTCGGTCGTTTGTTCATCGACCAATCGATTTCGGGATGTCTGGGTTTTTTAGGTCGAAACATGCTTTCAATGCCCCAAGATTGTCATTGATGATACGATTCGACTTCAAGCCCCCCTTTATCTCCCCCCCCTTTCCTCTCCTCCCGTTCTTAATAGTACGTTTGAAGACCGCCCCAGACTTGATCACCAACAGCGGCGTTCCACACATCACAACGCCTCGGCGCCACCACGCTTCAGCTGTGTCACGAAGGTCAAGAATTCCTCGCGCATCGGTTCTTCGACCCCTTTTTCTCCTGCGGGTTCCCTAACCGGAACCACCAGATTCAAAGACACTATGATTCAAAGACAGAACACCCTTTTCGGAAATCAATCCGATTTTTACGATCATTTCAACCCCACGGGTTGTAGAATCTGAGATCAGTTCACCTATAGGAACAATCAGGTATATCATATTTTACAGTATCACTTGGGAAGGTCAGAACTGCCCCCCCAAGTTGAGTTTCAGTTCGCCAACCATCGATGGCCAGTTGGAAAATCCCCACCCCCAACCGGCCCAATCTGGCTCATTCACCGATTTGGCGGCCTTACGTGGATGAGTCTGGCTCACAGTGCCAATTCTTAAGCCGCACTCAGCTGCGCGTGGATAGATGTTGAAGTTTTTTTCGTGTTGTTCTGTTCACTGCCGTGGGCCCTACACCTTGGCCGTGTTGGTCGTGAACTTGATCAAGGACATGGATGGCGTCAGAAAGGTCGCCACAGTCGCCTGTGTTGTGGAACGAAACCTTCACCCCGTTGTGATGTATCTGCAGGTCACCCGCCAGGAAGGTCTGACTTGTTGGGAAGGTTTTTGAAGCCTGCCAAGTGTCACGTGGCGTTCCCCAGCCATTCCTCGAAGTCAATGACATTGTCGCCATTGAGGTCGATGGCAGCGAAGAGCGTCCGCCACATTGGCTGAGCGAGCGCGTCAGGTGACGAAATAGTGGGAGCCAGGTTCTTTAGAGGCACGGGCATCACAGGGTTGATCAAATGACTGGGAACAACGTGATGAACAAACGTTCTGAAAACGGCTAATTGAGAGTTTTTTTCTCTTATAGGTTAGGTTGTTTAATCAATTGATAGCTTGCTATGTCAACATCATGTTATCCAGGCCCAGCCAGGTGCGCTACGCGCTAGCCGCGAACACAGACGGTGAAGGGTGAACGTCGTTCGGGGGTGTTCCAAAAAGTGACGTTCATCTTTGGGATTTGCGCTTCCAAGTTTGTGGAGGTATGCTGCACTTCACCAGCACAGGGGGAGTTATCCTAGAAAAGAGAAGTACTTCGTGCAGAACGCCAACATGCTGGACTTTGAAGGAAAAATTTGATGCGATGACTCTCAACAATCGGAAGCACTACTAAGCAAATGTCCAAGACCCAAAAAGATATTGTTTGACAAATACCCCTATTATACGGTCTACTACTAAAATACACTGCAGGATACTGCAGGGCAATTTTGGACGTTTCTTGGGCCCACGGCACCCGGACAAGGCTAGGCTGTGAAGGAAGGACGGACGGAAAAACGGGCCACGGCCAAATCTGTGGCCAGCCCTTTTTCCTAAGAGAGAAACCCAACAGAAAACAACCTAACAGCAATGGCCTACAACCTACTTGCGATGGCCACAACAAAATACTGTTTGATACAAAATATATGCTAATTTCACATTGGTTTTATTTGTTCCCTCGACAACAATGCTTCTCTGCGATCTCGGGGTGCCCAATTGCTGAACCCCAGTCCAGAATACCCCCCACTCTCTTGGGGTGACCCTGGAATCTCTTATCTCTCTTATCTTTGATCATACATGATCATACTTGAGGCCAAGGGGGGGGGCGAAAGCTAGCGCTCCAGAATGGGAAAGTGGAGGGCAGCGAGGTAGGAAAAAACACGGCGCTCTTTTTGGAGGCAGGGGTGAAGAGTCCTTTATATGTGGCTCTTTGCCCGGATCCTCCTGCGAGAGAAGAGAGAGAAGAGAGACGGAAAGACGAGAGACAGAGAGGAGAGAGAGAGAGAGAGGAGAGAGAGATGAGAGAGATGAGAAAGAGATGAGAGAGATGAGAGAGATGAGAGAGAGAGAGAGACAGAGAGACAGTGAGACAGTGAGACAGTGAGACAGTGAGACAGTGAGACAGTGAGACAGTGAGCGAGTGCGGCCGCAAGATACGCAACGCTAACCGCATGCCAAAGAGCGACGACAGGACGGAGTCCAACTTGCGAAGAGGGAGGAGGGAGGGAGGGAGGGAAGGTGGGAGGAAGAGGAAGACAAGGAGGAGGAGAGGGGAGGTGGGGTGGGGAGAGGGGAGAGGGGGGGAGGGGGGGGGGGGGGGGGGGGGGGGTCTTCGACCTGAAAAATCAGGGGTTAGGATTTGCACCCGGTCGAAAGAAACCTTGCTATCGCAAGAGTAACTCCAGCTAGCTTCGCTAGCTTTCGTGACAAATGGCCGAGAGAAATGACTCAAAGCTGCGGATTCCTTTCCCCTTCACCCAGCGTGCATGCCAGGTTGGACCTAATTGACACCGACTACCACTACGACGACTGCTACTAGTACCACTACCACTACCACTACGGCGGCTACTACTACTACTACGACTACTACCATTACTACGACTACTACTACTACTACTATTA